TGGCTTTCAGTTTCATGGGAGCAGAAGACTTGGCCTCCGTAACGGACGAATATTTCTGATGAAAACATAGGAAAGGGGATAGTGTATTAATAGTGAAGGCTATATTTAATGTGACAAGATCATCAGTCTACTATTAGAAATGTCTCTTAGTACATGAATCAAATCCTCAAATATACGTACTGATACTGGTGGACAGTCCTTTTGAGCACTCGAGGATTAAGTCAGTAGAATTTTAGTTTTGTTGGCTCCACATACATACATACATATGTATGTACACAAGTTTTATTTATCACGAGCATTAGTTAATTAAATGTAACACTTGAAGGTCAACCTTTGCCTTAGTTCTCACTAACGCATTACCCACATCGACGAATAAGTGTATGTATGTAGCATATGAACGTATGTATGTATGCATGAAATTATTTTTGCAAATGCTAATTCTTTACCTATAGATGGTCTGTATATAGCAACTGGTATTCGATTCCGAAAGTCATTGACTACGCTCTCAGCAAGGTTTTTAGTGAATGTGTAGGTGTTCGGGAAGCCGATAATTAATCTGAAATGGAAAAAATACATACGTGTGGATATCATAAGTGATCCAAAAAAACAATACACAAACATAATTGCATATTTATTGTATGGATAAGTGAAGCGTAAGCATCACTGTGCCATCTCAACGTCCCGCTTTGCTGGATTTCCTAACTTGGGAAAAACAGAAGCAAATGAGGCAAAGATGGCCAATTGTGGCCATTAAAATACGGAGCATTTTTTATGGCGATTAAGAAATTTTTATGGTTAGAATTTTTTTTTTCTTATGCGTAATTTTATATGAATTTTTTGTTTTTCTTGAGAGCTGCAGATATAAAGTCCTTTACATTGTAATGTTTTTATCATGCATCCTACATATTAGTAATAGGGGTATTCATCTAAAGTCCCAAACTGCCGATAAACGTGATAAAATTATGAATTTGTATGGAATTTATAATTTTATCACGTTTATCGGCAGTTTATCACGTTGTATGAGTACCCATATTATAAATGTGAAAGTTAGTGAGAGAGTGAGCGTTTGATTATGTTTGTTGCTCTCTCACGCTAAACCGGCTGGACGTATTTAAATAAAATAAAACATACAGATAGATTATAGCCCGGATTATTTAAAGGATGGTTGCTTCCTTTTTGAAAGTTAAAATCAATTAATTAATAAGGTAAAAAAAATATTACATCAACGCAGACGTCAAACGAAAAAAGTTCAAATACGATTTATTTCGAAAATATATTTTAAGGGGATTGCCACCTGTTCAAAAGGTTAAAATCAGTTTAACTAACAATATATCTATATATTTGATGATACAATGATCGGCTCTAAACCAGATTATCGAAATCGGTTGACGTGGTCCAAAGTTATGCGGTAACATACTTAAAAAAAAATAAAATAAAAAAAAAATATAAAAAAAAATAAAAAAAAAATATTCCTACGAACTGATAACCTCCTCCTTTTTTGGAAGTCGGTTAAAAAGGGGCAGAATTGTTCTCTTCATCGAATTGCTCGGCGAGCAGCGATTATTGTAGAAGTAAGACTTAAGGAAACCGGTGCATGGAACATTGCATTACCAATACCAACATTCTAAAAGCCTCAATTTGTTCCCATTTCTTTTTTTTTAAATTTCATTACTCACTTTCTTGTCAGGATATCCAAATACTCCCGTTCGCTATTATCCTTCAACATTTCCAAACACATTTTCCAATCAAGTGGTGATTCATAAATCTGAAAATTTTAGAATTTCATAATTGCAGTTTAACAGAATCTACTACTGCTGGCTTTACCTTCGGCTCTACTCGCTTCAAATACGGATTACTATAAAAAGTGGAGACGTGCATGAAAATCTTTAAATTCTTCAGCTTTTCAGCAAACAGCAATGCCTCCAAAGTGCCACCCACATTTAGCTTCAAGGCCACCCGCAATGGTTCGTCGAAGCGTACAGTTGCGGCACAGTGAAAGACAATCGAAACATTCTCCATTAGAGCGGTATGCTCTGGTGAAATGGCCAAATTTGGCAATGCTGCATCGCCCGGAATGGGCACCAGCCGATCGAGCATGTGTGGCTTGGTGGCGCGTAATACTTTGAACACCTAATAGGAATTTTCGTTTTTTTAATATCTTTTTTTTCAAGTATTTTATACATATAAATATGTAGTGTATATATGTATGTAAGTATTTGACGTAGATTCCGCACCTTTGCCTTCTTTAACTTCTCCATACGCTGTTCGATGGTGAAATTTTTCTTTGTACGCAGCAGCACATAGACTTTACGCACATTACATGAGCGTAGCAGCTTTTCAATCAGCGCTTTGCCAACGGCGCCTATTTCCATAAAGAAACGCACACAAAAATTTGTAAATGTTTTTCTGATTAACTGCACACTCGCTTCGCTGCTACTCACCTGAGCCGCCCGTTACGAAAACTTCAGTATCTGCATAGAATGCGTGTATCATTTTGTAAGCGTTTTTGGTGTTCTAATAAACTGAAAATGAAAATCCTTTAAACTAATTTTGAAACTTGTTGCAGGGTGCGCGCGTCCTTTTTGCTTTCGACTGCTCGCAACCGCGTACGTTGAAGTCTACTCTGCTACTATGTGTTAATTCTGGAATAATATAATTGTCCAACCCCGGTTCATACGTTCAATGAGCGTTCCAAACAATTTGCATTTTGCTTTTAAATTAATACTTAAATCCAAAATAATCCACAACACTTTTGATGGTGTGATTTGCTTATTTTTTGGCTGTACATTTGCTGTATCGCACGCATGTATTTTCAATTGATTTCGTTTTATGAGACAAGTATTAGAAATTTTCGGGTATTACATATTTACATAAAACTAAAATGAGCATAAATTAGCAACAAAAATAATACCAAAAATGCGAGTGCGCACGCACACCTATGTAGGTAGATGTTTTAATACAACAACATGTTCCACAAAGTCCGAAGGCATTAGTGGACTCAAAATTTGCATAAAAGTGGAGTATGTATAGTATGCATGCGGTATAGATTAGGGTGACCCTTATTTATTCGGCCCTATCGCGAATTTCATATGAACAAATATTCCCAAAATGTATAAAGGAAAGCAAAACCAATATTTTCCAATTATAGAAGCGATTTATTTACATGGAGTAGGCGATAGGGCTGATTGTTTAAATTCTCGGTCTAATCGGCTAGAAAAATGAGATTTGCATTAGACTGAAATTTATGATTTTTTATTGTATTTCCCCACTTTATTTCCACACAAATTAATTACTTTAGCCTAAATATTGTAAATCCCAGAAAGAAATTTCTTTCTCCGCATCTGTCGTGTTTGTTCTGAAACCACTAGAATGTTTCGGCAAATGCGACAGCCTCTCCAGGAAGGCAGCTCTTCAAAGAAAAAGATCCGCTGAAATATGATGCGCGTACTTTGGAGTGCCGGCTATTGAAGTGGAATCCCTTATTGGATTCAATCTCTGTCCCGTTCTTCATACCTCTACAATCCTCATTATTCGGACTCCAAATCTGGCGATAATATGGCTAATACGCCATCTAACGCGATCGGTTTGGATAGGAGCAGCACTCGCAGCTCTTCGTGCGACGATCATTGTAAATATGATGTAGTCAATAATCCAAGTCTCCCCGCGCGTATTTCCGCTTCCTTAGGTATTTCCAAAAACAATACTATGCCTCGACACGCCGAACACATATCGAGCTAGTCGCTACCGACCAAAGGGCTTTGTCAGCACAGCGCGATGCCTTAGAGTTGCATGAAATTTTCCTGAAATTCAAAACTTTCCCAACAGCCTCGTACACGAATATAATATTTTCAAATGGTCAGCGACGATGTCCAGGAAGGCCAACAGAGGAACTAAATACTCTCCGTTGTAGTGGGTACTTGTGATCTACAAGATCTTGGTCAAGAAGAAAGACAAGTATTACATATAACTGTTTATGCTGCGTATCTAACCATTAACATCTCTGCTGGATATCTTAAATCGATAAGTGAAATGGCCGAAGGGCCATTGAGAGATATTCACAATGGGACAAGAGAAGTGAGACTAAAAGTAAATCCAAACTGCAAATACGATCCCACAATATTCAGATTTACTCTTAAAAAATAAAACTAAAAACTTTTAGTCGATTAATGATCTATGGAATGTACAAGTCTGGTAGGAGCCTACAAGATCAGGAAATGCTTGGTAGGACCAAATATTTTTTATGATCCCCTTATACGCAAATTAATTTCTTCCTTTTATTTGAGCATGACATACATAATTTTGTACCAGAACTGATATGAGTAAGAGACTGCTTAGTTACGATTTAAGATAAAAATGGGTCGCCAGATGAAATTCGAACCACTGCGCTCTCGTTTTATGGTAAATTCTGTGTCTGCATTCCATTGTGTTCTTACATAAATTTTTCAGCGAGAACTAATTAGTTTCCGATTCTACCTGTCAATAGTTCTAAAGGTAATCCGAATCTACTCTAAGGTCCTGAGTCTCTCAATAAAGAGGATGAAGACAAAATCCCTATTTTTAATTTTTCTTTCAGAAATTACATCCGATTATGCCGAAATCATTCAATTAATAGGAGTTTTAAAAAGAAAATTTGCTTCAAAATGTCTCCTAATGTGGAGAATTATAAAAAAGGTCTCCAAACGACTTTTTATGAAATTTCAGCGAGAAACTAGTATTCCAAAATGTCTCCAAAAATGGGGACTTTTACAAAAAAAATTTCTAAATGGTTTAACTTTTAGTAAGAATATAAGGTTATTTTAAGATATTTCCAAGACTTCAGAGTTCCAAAAAAAAGCATCCAACCAATATAAGTGTTTAACAAATTAGTGAAAAAACCATTTGTCTCACTAAAAATGTTATACATTCGCACATTAAGCTTCTTATTAATGTATTTTTTACATTTTCACACCAACAACCCCACTTATCTTCACTTAACTAACCTCTGCATTTCCCACATTTAGGAAGTAATGAGATGTTGCGGCTGTATGACCTGCTCCAAGGAGACTCACGACACCTTTGTCGAAATGATGAATTTCTCGCTGCTAAAGGATGTCGTCTTCATCGTATTTGCCCTCTCGAACTTCTTCACCAGCATCGGTTTCAATGTACCTTACATTTATATAGTCTCGCAAGCGGAAACATTGCAGCTCGGCAGCGAGCAATCCAGCTACCTGATTGCCATAATTGGTGGGGCCAACACAATTGGCCGAATAGTACTTGGCTATTTGGCCGACAAGCCATGGGTAAATCGTTTGTGGGTTTACAATGTCTGTTTGACGCTGTGTGGCGTGTGTAAGTGCACTAACCGTAACAAAAACAAAAATAATGTTATAAAAATGTTTGTTCTAACTAAAAAAACAAAAAATATATATATTTTAAATTTATTCGCTCTCTATTTTAGCAACCGCTATGGCACCGCTTTGCACTGGCTTTTATTCGCTAGCTGGTTATTGTGCGGCCTTCGGTTTCACCATCGGCGCTTATGTCGGCTTGACTTCAGTGATTCTAGTCGATCTGCTTGGCTTGGAGAAACTGACGAATGCTTTTGGTCTGTTGCTGCTCTTCCAGGGTGTAGCCTCATTTATTGGACCACCAATTGGCGGTGGGTGAATATATTTTTTTTTTTGGTTTATCTTTTTTTTTTAAGGCAACATTATTTATGAGCACGTTTTTACTTCGCTCTCTCCCTCTCTTCCCATAGGTTGGCTATATGATGTAACCGATTCGTATGGCCCCGCCTTCCTCATGGCAGGCATTACGATTGCTATTAGTGGTATTATGCTCTTCGGTATTCCGCCACTTCAACGACATATCGAGGCGAAGACCAAAAAACAACAGCAAGCGACTGCGCAGACGTTATCGCTAAGTTAGTGTCATGTCTTGGCAACATGTACTGGTACATAGGCCAAGTGCCGCATCATCCTCTTGCGGGACTTTTTGATACAATTATGTGTTAAGCGCGTTTATTTGCCAATGCTTTTTTAATGTTTTATGTTTTCTTTTGCAATTATTTTTTAGATTTACGTATGTATGTATATGAAAACTAGCTAGATAGATATGATTGTTTGAGAAAGAAGTGCCTTTAGGGCGCATCTCAAAAATAGGGAATCAATTTTGCCTTTAATATACATATGTATGTATGTAAACTCACACATATGTATATTTATGTACAAGTCTTTGAAATTAATCTAGCTTAATATATGTAAATAAAAAAATTTGAAATTTATTGTAGCTACTAGTATAGAAAATGAGAGCGTACAGGTCTTATATAGTTGTATGTGAAATGAAAAACGCAAAATGACAAATGAATCTAAGAAAAAGAATTTTACCATATTACCGTTAGCTGATCATCTGAAATAGTCATATCACAAGTTAAAATAATGAAATTATTTTCTCCTATCAATACTTGCCTCCACTTAAAGTATAATTGCTCAGGTAAACTATGGCACATATCGAATGCTTAAACTCTATGTACAATAATTGTTATGGGTATTCACGATTTGCTGTAAAGTCACATACATATGTATGTATATAAACAGAAGCATTTTCTGCGCAAAAGTAAGCAGTGTCGTACTGAAAAACCATTCTTCACAGATTCGGGCTTTAAGACGGTCCATTATAAGACATGAATCCCAATTTTTCGATACATATTCAGGCTGAGTATGATTTTGTATTAAATGCACGCATGTATGTATTTAGTTGTACAGAGTCTCAAATCCATTTTAATAGGTATACAAGTAAGTTTTATTGGAACTTTTTTCTTGATTTTTAAACTTAAATGCCCGTATGCAGTTCTCAAGAAAAATCACAAGAAATATTTTTCATTATCTTTGTTGCTAGGAAAATAATTTTGCGGTTGCTGTAAATTTTCTTGAAGCAATAAATATACGACCAAGGCACATTGAACAAGTAGTATCAGTTGGGCAGCTGATTTGATTTTTTTTTCCAGATTATTTCATTTCTTCTAAAAAACAATATAAATTGTCAAAATCTTTGTGCATGTGTAACCGTTTACCATACAAAACAAGTGATTGAAAAGCAACTTTTGGAGAGTTCACCTAACTCAGCAGCACAAACGCTGATTACTCGGCGTTGAAAATGATGAATCAATGCTTCGAGAAGCAAACAAAGTTACTAAGAAAGAAAGTCGCGCCATTTTTTTTTGTTTCCAAAATAAATTTTTAATTTTAGTTTGTATGTATTTCACATGGCACACTTGATTTACAAGAAAAAAAAAAAAACAGTTTTTGACACTTTAGAAACCAGAAGCAACAACAAAATACGCTTTAATAAGGCGTTGGCTGCAACATTGTCCGGTTCGCTTAAATTCGAATGGTGCCCTCTGTTGACAATCCTTTAAGACTTGTGTGCCAATAGGATACGAAACGCTGGAACTTATTTAAAAATAAATACACGTAGTTTATGTATATATGTATATTTGATATGGGCATACATACATCATGGTGAAATTAAAAACAGGTGCAGTAATAAAATAGCTTTCTCGTTTTCTTCTTTTGACATTCGGCTATCTTATAGAACTTTTTAAAGGCAAATTTTTAAATAAGATAGTGTCAAATCTTTCTTCTCACTCTAATTACTAAACCTGGTACAATTTCACCATGCACATATATATGTATAGAGATCTGCTCAAATTAAAAATAAACAAAATTGTAAAACTGAATTAAAAGTAATAGATAATGCTTTTGTACATAATTTATATGCTGAGTTTTGTGTATTTTGCATGTTTTTCACAAATGTACCTATGTATTTAAGTAATTCTTAATTTTTTAATTTTTTATGTATTTTTATGTTTTAGATCAGAGAATAAATAAATCAAGCCAAAATTTCTTATTCCATGTACGAATGACTTAATTAACTAAATATACTCAATAATAAGTAAAATATAAAAAAATAAACATTAAACCATGTAACTTTTCTTTTTACTAAGTACAACAAAATTCTGGATCCAGAAATGAATAAATATTTTATCATGCTCGTTTCTAACAAAGACGTATATTCTTTGGCTTCACGCGGTATTTTGCCTGAATTTGAATATGGAAACAAAGCAAGTGTGCCCAGTGGCAAACGAAAATTCTTAGTGCAGCGTCTCTGCTCGCGTGATCATGCCGTTCGAAATGGCACAAACGCACAGTGGGGCGTCCCCATATAGGCTGCGGCGAAAAGTAGTAAGCGTTCGCTGAAATTTCCTACATGCTCTATTCTGCACTTAAGAATGGAGAAATGTTTAAAATGGTAAAAGTAGATGCACTGACATGCCACAGCTCTTAAATATATTAGCGGCATGGTGCCAGTTTTTAAAAATGTTTGTTCGAGTCTCAATTTTATAATATTTTCTATTTAGGGCGCAGTTTGTGTAACATAAATCTTCTTTCGACGTAAATATAACAACAAGTAGTGCAAGAACCCTTTTTTAATTGCAAAATAATTGTATAATTTTTTTTTGAAGGGAAAGCGCCATAAAACTTGGCATGCAAGTATAATTAAAGAATAAAATACACCAGTCAGTTTGTCTGAAAAGGCTAAATATGCAATATACAACTGAAATATTTATGTATAGCCTTAACATTACATTTTTGTTAAATTAATAATAACCCAGCATGAAAAGCAGATACTGATTTTCATTATTATTGGCTGCTTTGTTTTATTACAATTCAAATCGTTGCCCTGTGGGGAAAATCTCTAGTTCTGAACTGGTGCGCTGCTAGTACATTTGGACCCAGTACTGGTTCGCGATAAATCGCTTTTTCATGTAAACAACTGGGGAATTTAAAATGGCGATGTCCTAGAAAGTGTCAATTGCCGCCCGCTGCATACCTTTTTCGATAGTTCCAAAGTAGTCCTAAGTTCTATAGTTTCGAACCACTTCTAAACTCGTCACTTTCGATATAGCAAAAATAATGAAATAAAATAGATTTTTAAAAGTACTACTTTACGCAGATTTTAGACCGGTGGAGATCTAGTCACTATCGGACTGGTTCGTTTTTGACGATAAAAATCTAGTATGGAACCAGAAATTTGATTGACTAAGTCGAGGTTTCCCTGCAGAGTGAATACAAACATACAAACGTATTATATGTGTAAAGGTTAACAAATAAATATTTTCCCTTAAGTTGTAGCTACCGTTGCTTAGCATTCTTCACACTGGGCTATTGGCAAGACTAGCCAAATATTCACTATGCCAATTGTGTCTTCTTCCTTGTTGAAATAATGAAATATATATTCATTTATTGGATGTATATTTTAATTACAAAAAAATGTGAAAAGTGCTGTTGTAGGGGCGGCCCATTCTCGCGAGCTGTATGCTATTTCCCGTTGCTATTTTCGAGCGTACGCCGCAATTTCTTTGATTACAATCAGAGCTACATTAATCATTTGTAAATAAATATAAATTAGTCAAATATGAAACTGCCAGAGGGGCCTGTAGGAAGATATCAGAAGCTTTAAAACAAGTAAAATTAAAATTGGTTTAACTAATTTTAGAGTTATTATAAATAAAAATAACGGTAACAAATATTATTTTCTTTTTTCATAAAAAATAATTGCATACATTTTTTAATTTTTTGTGATATACATATGAATGTAGACGTTAATCAAATTCCAGAGCAATTTTTTTTTTGTTGATACATACTAGCCGACCCGACAGACGGAAAAAGATTTATATTTGGCATTTACACTTTTGCTAAGTGTTTGGCCGAGCTTTTCCTCTACTTTACGGTGGGCGTCTTGATGGAGGAGTTTACAGTTTTATGTTATGTTAAAATAAAACCCTTTTTCTATAATTTTTTGGTATGTTGCCGGGCGAATTTCATACATATTTAGACGATATCCTGCCGGATAGTATGCTCTCTGCTCTAGTAAACGTAACAGACAGTGGGATGGACTAAGAGGTACCCGTTTATCCGCACACGAGAGTTGTAGCGGGATGAAGGAGAGGGACGGGAGAAAATCTTAGGAATTTGGAACTACATACATTGCGTCTCACTTCCTTCCTTCCATTTCAATGGGTCTATCTCTCTTTTCCTCTAGTACTTACAAACATCGGACCAAAGTTATAAAACCATTTCATGTTCATGAAAGGTATAAAAAACACGGTTATATTTTTTCAGTAGAGAACAATTCTAGAGCTTGAGAGCATTAAAATTCCGGCTTTACTTTTTTTTTGGACCACCCTAATATGCATACAAACATAATATATACATATACCTGAACTACCGTACCTATACACAAACGAACAAACATATTATTTTTTGGCATTTGTAAATTAGAATGGGCACTTCAGTGTGCATATTTACATTGTTAAATTTGTAATTATCTTCAAAAATCTTTGCGCCCATTTTAGTGGGTACTCAGCGCGAACAACATGCGAAGAACATTGTTGCACTGTGTCTGGTTCTAAATGCTTGTTGACAGATTTATTAAGCGTGTTGCAGTGCAGGAGCAAGTAATTTTACCCTCTTGACGTAATACTCGTAGTCAATTTTATAGACTTTCTGTTTTGTTTAGATAATTTCATTTATTTGAGGATTTGAGAAATTTTCTATATAATCGTTGCAATTCTTAACACTTAATTAGCTATTACATGCAAAGAGTATTTGTTTAAAGTTTTAAGTTTCAATAATAATAAAAAGAAAATTTGGCCGTCACACATTTTGGAAACGCGTTTGTGTTGGGCGCCGATATTTTTCTTTGATTTGTGGTGTTCGTATTTAATTTGTCAAAGAACTAAAAAAAGATAGTACAGTTTTCCACGCATATTTGTCATTGAAGACGGCGATCGCTGCTGAAAAATTATGTATGCTTTTTTCAACTGTTGTGAAGTTTACATAACTGATAGATGTGGCCGTGACAGAATATGGTAACAAGCTATAACATTTTTCATATTTCTTCATTTCTAGACAAAAACTCAGTATGTATATATGTATAAAATTTCAGAAAATTCATAGCGTAGTGTAAGGAATTGGAATTCTTGGTGTCCGGAAAAAACAAAAACAAATGTTTCCCTGCACTCAGGCGGTTTTGCCCATTGTACTCACAATCATACCTGTACAAAAAACGTCATGATTAAGTTATTTTTTGTTGGTAATTTTTACTGATGGCAACTCTACATAAATGCATTGAACAAAAACTTGCATAATCGTCACTTTTTATCTACGGCGCCAACTCTCCCATAAAATGTTTTCAAAATAATTTTGTGGGCGATGCTAGCGAATGGTCAACCGCGAAAAGAAAATAAAAGTCATATAGATATCTACTTATGGGCAAATTTGACTGCTTTTTATAAATATACTGGATATGCAAGTTTTCAAGTCGCTAGAAATTACCGCTGATTTTTTACAATTTTTTATGGAGAGTGTTGCGCATTTTCTTCCATATAAAAGTAGATTTTTATCACGCGTTACTAAAATTGAAGGGGCTACAAAACTGCATACTCGAAAATTTCTACAAATTCTTAACAAAAATTTGGATACATTTTTTTTGAATTTTTGTGAACTTTACATAAAGTGTGAAACTTTGATTTAAGTGGTTAATCTTGTAGAATGAACTATAGTTTCATAAATAAATAATGAAAAGGAAAATATTTTGATGAAAATAATTGTGAATATTATATTAGACATTGACTGTATGTTCAAATCTTTACTATCAATTGTTCTCATATTTTTACTACTTAATTATTATGCAAATATAAAAAACCGTTTTGAAAATTTTGATCTTTTTATTTTATTTATTATCTTTTTGTTATTCAAATGTCACGTCACGTCAGACTGGAAATGCCCATTTTCAAAATTCAACTTTCTTAAAAACCTTTCGTTTGATCCGACCAATATTTCCTATCTTCATTCCATAGGATCGCCAGACAATAAAAGCATTCACATTCTTCGCGACCACATTTATGTTAGACTAAATAGTAGATCTTCGGAAGCAGTGAAGATATCTTCTTACGCTTTAGGATCACAACTTTTGGTCAGCCTGAGCCGAGACCAAAAAACTTCGCCAATTGCCTACGCCTTTTGCCTAACTGCGCCAGTTGGTTGCTTGTCCAGGTTTTAATTCCATTCGGACCCCTTTGCCTACGACAACATTGCCTTAAATCTTGCGTGAAAAAATTCTCTTATATTTGTTTGACATCATTCTCATTTCGGCGCCATACACGTAATGGAACTGCTCACATTTGCCAACAATAAAAATTGTGTTCCATATGTTGGACGCTGGCATTGAAAGGGTTAAATTCCCACTTGATTTCACACTTTTCAATTTACTGCTTGGTTTGTTGGGTTGTCTGAAAGATTGGCTTGAGTTGACTTGATATGTACTACGGCCAAGATGACAGCTGTCAAGGAATGTCATTTATGTTCTGCTATTCTAATTAAAATTAAAATAAAGTGAACTGAACATTTGCGGGCGTACAAACATATGTAGATATCAAAGTGCACAATCAGACATTTATAAAAAAAAAGTACTTAACAGCAAGAAGACAGCCAAGGAATTTACTTAATTAATTCACTCAACGTCGGAAATGAAGCGTAATCACATTTTTCTTAATATGTACTATCATTTTATTATTTTTTATTTAAATATTTTTATTGGGCTTCTTCTAATGAGTTCAGACTTTGTATGAAATACAATTTTAGAAAAAAAAACATAAATATGTAGTAATTTTATGCATACATATATGCAGATGTACATACTCGCATAGATATAAATTTTAAGGCAAAACTATTTAGTAATAAATAATTAAGTGTTTACACACAAGTACTACATAAATCCATCGCAAAAATTCGCAAATGCACAAAAGCTGACTAGATTTTAGATAAACAGTGGCAAATTACATGAATAAATTATTACTTGCTATCCGAAATGGTACATCCAACAATAATGAATGAAAGTACTTTTGCATTGCGATTTTTAATTACCACACAAACACACTTCTTAAGCAATTAATACGAGAATTCTCTGCCGCTATCCCTCTTTCTCGCTCTCTCTCTGTCACAGCACGCTGCATTCTTCACACTCCCAATTCGTCGCTAACATGGTATCTCATTGGTGATCAACTTTTTCAACGTACAATCTCCAGCACCTAATTTGTCCAATACCTCGAGTATCTCTTCGCGATAACGATCACGATGCTGCATTTCTTCTTCGGTGAATTCGTCTTTAATGCGTAGCATGCGCCAAATTACATTCAATTTAGCCTCGATTAGCACATAATTCGATGGCGGGCAAAAGCGTGGACACATCTCGTTTATGAAATTGATCAGATCGTGCACGGTGCTCTTGTTAATGCGATTATTGATCGTATTCAATGCAAAGTCCTGATAGCGTGCCATCTTCGTGTTTGGCGAGATTGTCTCACAGGTGAGGCAACGCCAATCTGGTTGTAGGGTTTTCGTTTCCACCGGTATGACGATGCCTTTGCAGCCTTGTTCGCGACAAAATAGCGCAGACAAGTAGGTGCCGTTCTCCTGCAAATATGGGAGAAGAGTTTTAATTAAAATTCATATTCATACGGATATAAATTACATACGATGAAACAAGAAAAAAAAACCCGCAAGTACGCATACATTTATGTTACACTTCCTCGTCCGAGAGACCGAATATTTTTTTAAAAACCTTGGAAAATACTGAAATCCAATACATATGAAGCAAATTTTGTCTTTTAGTATGTGCATTAGGGCGGTAAATAAATAAACTTAAGTCGGAATTTTATTGCTCTCAATACCTAGGATTGTTCTCAAAGCGCTCAAAGTTGTCCATGTATTTTATATTGGGAAAAACAACTTTTTCTAGAAATTAAAATCTATTTTTTTTCGATCGGAAAACTCTATTTCTCTTCAGGAGGCTTCCAATAATAACACCAATTTTTTTTTTACCATTTTTTAACACTTAATATATTTTATTGGGCTCCTCGTTGCATTTTCTGGGGTTTTGGCGGACCTTTAAAATAAAGTTACTATGAAAAACTGGGTAAATAAACAATTGGATATTATTATTGAGAATTTCCTGAAGAGAAACAGAGTTTTCCGATATTGATTTTCAAGCATTATATTTCATTTCTAAGTCTAGGGAGTGAGAGCATAAAATCCAGACTTTACCTTTTCACATGCATTTTTTTGGACCACCCTAATGTGCATACATATAAATGTACATACAGTCAAATACTAAAAATCTCAAGTTTCTTTGTTTAAACTTTTTGTTTATGTTGAATATCGAATAACCTGAGCGGGGACAAATATTTTTATATGGATTAGGTACAATATATCAAAGAAATACTGTTCGCAAAAGGAAACAAAACGGCTTACAATAATAAAAAATCAGCTTTGTTGGTGGCTTATTATTTGGATCGTATAATGCGGTTTTTGAGTTTTCGTTTATACCACCATAAAAAAAAATTTAAAAAGGGGGGACAAAAAAATAGAACTTTGTTTGGAATTGACCCAAATACATATGTAACGGGTGATTTTTTTGAGGTTAGGATTTTCATGCATTAGTATTTGACAGATCACGTGGGATTTCAGACATGGTGTCAAAGAGAAAGATGCTCAGTATGCTTTGACATTTCATCATGAATAGACTTACTAACGAGCAACGCTTGCAAATCATTGAATTTTATTACCAAAATCAGTGTTCGGTTCG